AAGCTCCACCTGCATCCGAAGGGTGTCTTCTTTCCCCCTGCTCTTGACATGGTTGCTAAGTTGCTAACTTGCTAGCAGTCAGGTGTCTTCTTCTTCTTTCCATCCGAAGGGCCTGCTATGTACTCTTGTATTCCACCGCCCAAGGCGACAAACATAAGCAGGGCCTGGAGGCAGCAAACGCCAGAAAATGACACCTGGGCCCTGGCCCAACAAAAAAAGACTGCACCTCCAGGTCCTGCACGCATGCGCCTGCAAAACGACGCGAGGCATCATGAATGGGCCCGCGGATTTTCCCAAGACTCAGCATTTGCAACTCGGTGTGGGAGCGTCATGCGAGACCCTCTCTTTGCTTAAAGAGTATAGAGAAAACGACACCTGGGGCCCGTTGGAGAAGAAGAAGCTCATGAATGGGCCTGGCATCCACCCACTGTTGAACAGGAGGTGCACCAGCCAACAGCACAGACCGGCAGCAGGTCACCATACAGACCTGACTGAGGTTGTGGAATCTGGGTTTTTAAAAGGGCTGGCAAAAAGTGGCCCTTCTGAGGACTGGTGGCTTAAAGCCTTAAATCAACCATCGTGCCTGAGCTCATCATGACCCGTGTTATCGCGTTCTCCCATCCCCACAGGGCTGTTCTTTCTTTATCGCAACAGTTTACTGAATCATCAACCGTAGACAGTCTCCATCAAAGGGTTCTATGTACATAAGAATATAAATCAGATATAGTTCGAAGAATGCAAGAATTTGGCACAGGAGATGCCGCGCAGGGGACATGGATGAAGTTATGGGAGGTGTGACAACAACTGACACTGTCTCAAGAAGAGTCAAAAAGATTAGACCCGACGGTAGAAGTAAAATGGCAGGCCACGACGAGTCAAGGATGAAGGATCTGCACACCATCATCGCTTGTAGGGTTGAAACTTACAACCTAAGATCAATGTCATTCATTCCAATAAGGGACAGCAATAAGGCGTCCACCAAATTGTATTGAGTTGGTCTCATGGACAAAATCTGGGCGATCTCCTTGCAAGCAAGGAAGTTCTACAGTCTACAATTTGTGATTTTTACAGACACGCTGACTCAGTCTAGAAACCTGTCCCAGTCACTCTTGCCTCTCTCTTCTCTTTTTCTCTCTTCTCTCTCTCTCTCTCTCTCTCTCTCTCTCTCTCTCTCTCTCTCTCTCTCTCTCTCTCTCTCTCTCTCTCTCTCTCT